TGATGCTGATGTTGTTGATTGCAGTCGAGTCAAGCACAACTCATAGCAACTCGATGAATAAAAGACCTGAAGCATTTCTGTAACTATTGTTGTTTCTCAAAGTTGATGGAGTTTCCAGAGTCATGTTATTTAGGAAGTGGATGCAAATCCTGCTTCTAAAGACATGTTGCTAGGAAAGGGCTATTCCTTAGAAAGGAATATCAGTCAAAGAGAAGTCCCCTAATGAAATGAACTGACACAGTTATGGCAGCAATGGGCTCAAAAGTGTCATCAGATCAGCATGGCACAGGATAGAAAAGGATTCAGGTCTGTTGTTCATAGGGTCACTAGGAGTTGTACTTGGCTCAAAGGCACCTAACAATAGCAATAACTAGTGGCCTAGAGATAAGAAACTGCACTGCAATCCCAAAAGTTAGAACCCACCAGCTGCTTTGTGGGGGAAGGATGAGCAGTCTCCTATGCAATTTACTGCCTCTGAAATTCTGCTTGAGGGCTGGCTACACGTTGATTCCAATTCGATGGCACACAACAACAACTACAACAATAACAACAACAAAAACCAAGTGATTTACAGTCTGCCATGTGATTTACTGTATCAGAGGGCCAGCTATGATGTCTGACTCAATGGAGTTGGGTCTGAAGCCCAGCAAAGACCCCCGCATGCATAAAGGAGAAGAGTCTGAAAGGGGTGGCCTAGACTTCTGGGTTTTCTGTTATTTCTGGCTTGTGAGCCTCACACATTTGCACTGTATGAGTGAACCTGGGATGGGGGGGCACCCAAATTGTGTAGGAGTCACCTTGATTACATAACTGTAAGTCAAGCAACAGTAGTATGAAAGGAGTGATGAATTCAGTAAGGGGAGTTGTTGAGGATTTCTAAGAGGTGAAGACAGGTTCTGGAAGTATGAGTAAGAGCAGTTTATAAGGAGGAGATGGAGGCCTTACAAACAAGAAGAACGGCTACATTTTCTAACTAGTCCATGACACAGCATGGGTCTGCAATGAACCCATAGGAGGTTGCCAGATTGTTCTGGGGAAACATTTCCTGGTCCAGTCAGTGTTTGATAATCTTCCTGGGCTTCTCACGGAATTTGCTCAATATATGTAAATATATGTAAACTACTCAGGTCGCATGGTTAGCACTCTTTATTCCTTACTATACAGAGCTCTAGTGACCCAGTGGCAAGACATGGTGCCGCAGTTTGGAAGGATGAGGTTCAAGGCCAACAGCTGCTCAGTGGGAGAAGAATGGACAGTCTCCTCTCATGTGCTTAATTGCCTCTGAAAACTCGCTGGAGGGTCAGCTATGGATTGGTTCGGACTTGATGGTATACAACAACAACAGGGGCTGGGAGGAGCCTTTGTGGTGCAGTGGGTTGCGAGCTGAGTTGCTAGGTCAGCCATTGGAACCCACGGTCACTCTACAAGAGAAATATGGGAACCACACAGGGCATTTCTACCCTGCCCATTGTGAGTTGGAAACAACTGGATAACGAGGTTTGATTTTTCCTTCCCCACAGGGGCTAGAAGAGTTCTTGTTTTGCATTTTATTTGCATTCACAATCGCCAAAGATTTCCTCTTACTTGGATCTACAGTACAGTGATGTCATTTTACTTTGATCCACAATCAACACCCATGGTATCTGCAGTCAAGAAACCAAAAGGCATACTGCATTGGGCCAATCTATTGTCCTCTCCAAGTAAGGCAATGGTGGGCATTCTACAATGTTGATTACTTTTATAAAATATAATGAATGGGAATGATTGTATGAAACACAACATAAATGAAGAATAGTGTGAAATACTATACACACACACACACGCACACACACACACAAGCACACTTTGTAAGCAAACCAACATAAAATAAAAAAATTATTTTTTTAAAAAAGACCTTCTCTAAGGTACTAAAGAGCAATGATGTCAGTTTAAACACTAGGGTGCATCTGATCTCAGCCATGGCATTTTGAATTGCTTCATATGCATCTGAAATTCGGACAATGTATAAAGATGACCCCTGAAAATTGGACGCCATTGAATTGTGTTATTGGTGAAGAGTATTGAATACACCAAATCAAAACAAGAAACTTATTTGTCTTGGAGGAAGTACAACCGGGGTGTTCCTTACAGACAAGGATGGTGAGACTTCTTCTCACATACTTTAGGTTTATTATCAGGAGGGGCCAGTCCTTGGGAAAAGGCATCATGCTGGGAAAGGTAGAGGGTTATCAAAAGAGAGGGAGACACTCAATGAGTTGTATTAACTCAGTGCCTGCAACAGTAGGTTTGGTCCTATCAGAAATAGTGAGGCTGATGTAGGACAGAGCAAGTTTCCTATCTGTTGTTCACAGGGCTGCTATAAGTCATAGTTGACTTAATGGCGTCTAACAACAAGAGTACTGGTCGCACAAGAAATAATTGTGCTGCTAGCTAACAGGTCAGGGTTTCAAAGTCACCAGCCACTTTGTGGGAGAAAGATGTTGCAGTTTGCAAATGGAGTCGTTCTATTTGTCCTATAAGGTAACTATAAGTTGAAAGAAATTGGATGGCAGTGGGTTTGGGTTTGATAGAAGCTAGATCTCTTAAACCTTTAATAATTAAGTAGCCCGGCATTTTATAAATTTTAAAATATTCTTGAGAAAGCCTAAGAAAACATCTTTTTTATTTTCTACTCTTTCTTCCCAACTCTCTACACTGGAAAAGCCTTACCATTCCATTTCAAAGCCGTTTATTGGAGTCATTCTATTACAAGTGCATTACACAAGATTATCCAAGAGGAAAAGTGACACAGGATAAGGATTGTGTTGGAAGTTTTTGGACGCATTTTTGAGGTGACTACAGGCAAGCAAATGATACCTAAACCAATACTTGAAAGTACTGCCAGTTATTTATTCTTAGAAATGAATTTATTCTGGAGTACAGATTTACAAATCATAGTTTTTATACCATCTTTTTGTTGTTGTTGTTGTTATGAGCTGTCAAGTTGACTGTGACTCATAGCAACCTTAAGTGCACAGCTCTGAAGTCTGCCCTTTTCTGTGCCAGTCTCACTGACTCTGACATACCTATCCCCATTACCCCAGTTACTGTATCAATCTATTTCATCTAGGATCTGCCTCTCCTACGCTATCCCTCCATCCTTCTAAGCATGATGTCCTTCTCCAAGGACTGGTCCCTACTGGCCACATGCCCAGGTACTTGAGATGGAGCTTCAAAATCCTAGCCTCCAAAGAGAAACTTGGTTTCACCCTCTCCAAGATAGACCTATTTGTTTTCTTGGTGGTCCATGGTATGTTCAAGACCATAATTGAAAGGTATTGATTCTTCTTCTGCCATCCTTAGTCATTGTCCAGCTCTCTGATGCATACATTGCAAAGACCACTGCCTGGATCAGGTTTACCTTAGTCTTTAGACTGATGTAGTTGCTTCTCAATACCCTGAAGAGGTCCCTGACAGCAGATTTTTCCAATGTAATTGTTCTTTTGATTTCCTGACAGCTAGTTTCACGAGTGTTGATTGTGGAACCAAGCAAGTTATAATTGTTAACAACCTCAATTCCTTCCTCATCTATTATGGTGCTGCTAATTTGCCCCGTGGTGAAAATCTTTGTTTTCTTGATGTTGAGCTTCAATCCATATTGAAGATTACAGACCTTGATCCTATGCAGCAAGCACTTCAGCACCTTTTCAGTTTCAGCCAGCAGGGTTGTGTCATCCGCATAATGTAGGTTGTTGATGAGTCTTCCTCCAATCCTGATGCCTGCCACATTCTTCCTCATAGAGCTCAGCCACCCAAATGATCTATTTGCAAGTAGATGGAAAAGATATGAAGACAGGATGCATCCCTGACACATTCCTTTCCTGATTTTGAACCATTCTGTGTTTCCTTGCTCTGTTCTGAGGACTGCTTCCTGGTCTGAGTATAGGTTTCACATGAGTATAATCAACTGTTCTATGATTCCCATTCAATCTTAGACATTTTATTTTAGAACCTAAATTTCCATTAGTTAATTCAATTAAGAGGGTGCTCTGGTGGCAAGAAACTGGCTGCAATCCCGAAAGCGTGGTTTGAGGCCACCAGCTGCATCATGGGAGAACATGGTCAATCTCCTCCTGTGGGATTAACTGCCTCTGAAAAACAGGGAGAGTCAGCTTTGGTTTGCTTCTGACTCTATGGCACACGATAGTAACAACAATGCAAATAAAAATATCTAATTGATCCCTTCACCTAACCTATTTATTATTACTTTTCCCTCTCCCTTTCCCATCCTTTATACCTCTAAAATAGATTCTATGTTTGTGCACACTTTTCTCTTTTTTGTATGCTTTTAAATTTTCTCTTTTTATTATTATTAATTTTAATGAACATTTACAGAGACTTTGGATTTCCATTCATTGTTGCACTTTTCTCCCTGCCCACCTCTCCCCCCAGTTCTCTTTGAAAAGCAAAAGAAAAGTTCTTTCATTGTTATACAATTCCTCCCCCCAAGTCCACTTCACTATGCACGCAGCCTTCGTTCTGGATAATTTTTTGTAATAATAGTCTTACACCATCATAATTATCGCTTTGTCATTTAGCATAATTTATTCTAGATTCAGCCACGTTGTGCTGCATTTCACGAATTCTTGGTCTATTTACAGTGATGCATAATACTCCGTTGCCAGATATTTCCGAAATGCCATTTCAGAGTTTTGGGGTTTTTTTAAATCGCATTTCCTCCCCTAAGCATTTTCTCCCGAGCGGGTGGCCAGGTCTGAGTGGCACTGAGAATCCCTGAGGACGAGCGGAACCGGGCTAGGTGTGGTGGACCTCGAAGCAAGTGCCACGTAAGAAGTAGCGCTCAATCAGTTTTGACATTTAGGAAAGTGTGAGAGTAGAGAAAGGTCAGTGTGGATGTTAGGACAAAAGGCTCAGGCGGAAGTAAAAAGTTCTGAGACCTTGGGTGGGAAAGAGAGAGGAAGGTGGGTCCTAGGAAGGATGCGGGGAAAGGGAAGGTCACCATGCGCCAGGTACCTGCCCCGGGGCGCTTGTTCCAATGGGAAGTGAGCGCGAACCGCACCTCAACCTGCCCGGTGACGTCACGACGCTGGGGCGAACGCTGGGCCAATAGGAGGCCGTCACGGGCAGGGGGCGGGGCCCAAGGAGTTGGGGCTGGGCTGCATCGAGACAGTTGGCGGAGTCCTGTGTGGCCACCTCTGGCGAAGACGAGAACTGAGCCGGCGGCCGCGGCCTGCCCCAGAGCCCAGTTCCTGCCTCTCCCACTTCCCGCATGGCGCTGACTTCTCACTAAGCGGCGCCCGGGTGTGCAGGACACGAGGGCCGCGCTGCGGAGGTGGCTCCAGGTCGAGGCTTCCAGTCGCCGGCACTTCCTCCTGCCGTGCCCGTGCGCGGCCGTCTCGGCGGGCGGGATGGCGGCGGCCCGTGGGAGCAGTAGCGCATCCGCGCCGCCGCCGCTGCTGCTCCTGCTGGTTCTGCTGCTCTGGGCCCCGGGCGGCGTGCGGGCGGCCCTCGATGAGGAGCTGAGCCACAAGAACAAGGAGTCCGCAGTCCCTGCTCAGCAGGGCCTTGAGCCGGCTCGGGCCGAGGTGTGCTTGGAAGGGCCGCGGCGGACGGGACCGGGCGGCGCGGGCGGGCTGGGGGATGGGCGGCGAGGCTGCGGAGCCCGCGGAGCCGAGGACCGGGCGCCGGCCGCGGGGAGGAGCGGGAGCGGCTGGGGGAGGGGAGCGGGCCCCTGCACACCGGGTGCAAGCCGATCCCGGCGCTTTCTTCCCGCCCAGGCCTGGCCTCGCCCTGCTCGGTATGGGAGAGTAGGCAGCTCCGGAGGGAGCCTTCTGTTCTATCGGGTAAGGATGCTGCAGATGTCTCCCAGACACTCATCCTAACAAAGTTTTTAACCGAGGGAGCTTGGAGGCTGTTTCGTATTTCCGAGGATGGTAACACTGGCCATTTCATTCTTGGAACACCTTAGCCCGGACTGCTTACCCAAATTGAGCTTTGCGTGGCCTGCGATTTTAGCTTAAATATGGGCTTGGGACCGTGACTTTCACTTTTTTCCACCAGCGTGCTTTGGCTAGCAGGAAGTAGCCGGTAGGGACGGAGAGGGATACTCAGTCTGACAGTGCAGAGGACTGCAGCTTTGCGAGGTGCGAAAACCGAATGTGTATGTATATGATAGTCCAGTATTCTGGCCTTCACGAAATATGTATACATTAGCTTCTTAATTTATGTATATAGATCACTACCTTGTCGCTTCTACTCCAAACCTTGGCAGTACTTTTTGATTCTTCCTTCAGCAGCGCTGGGTTCTAGGACTGGATTAATTCCAGTTTCCAAATTCAGGCACTTTTGGCTCTAGTCCTTAGAGAGTTGCGTACCCAACCCAAAGCCTGTGCCCCCCTGGAGGTTCAAATCCACCCCAGCTGCTTTTGAAATAAAGATGAACAATCTTCTCCCATGAAATTTACAGTTTCTGAAACCCTGCTAGACGTTCTGATTCCATGGCAGTGAATGAATGAAGGGTGTGTGTGTGTGTGTGTGTGTGTGTGTGTAACAAGAAGCAGGCTAGTAGGATCCCAACCTTCTTCCCACTGCTACATCACTAACCTCCCTAAACATTGAAACCTACTACTTCCCAGAAATTCATTGCTTACAGATTTCAGTTCAGCCCCTGTAGAACTGCTGGGTGTTCAGGTTTCTTCATGATTTGGCTGCTGTAGCTAGCTAGCCTCCAGTCTTGGGTAACTCCTACCTACGTAAGTTATTTGTTATTTGTTAGTTGCCATTGGGTCCCCACCATGGGCTCCTGGTGTGCAACAGAACATATGCTTACTCAAAATGTGCTTCATGCACTCCCCAGGTAGTGCCATGTGTTGGCTTCCTTGTCCTTTCCCACAAAAGACCTTCCTGATTTAAAAAGCAAACAGGGCCTAGTGCTTGAAGAGTACTGACCCGAACCATTTCCCCCTTTAAAAACTGGCAGGTAAACCCTCTGAGGGAAGCCTTCCCTAAATTTCCTGATGAAAAGGGATTTCTTGCTCCTCTGAGTAACATTTCTTTTCGTTTCTCCATCTCATTGCTGCTACGTTGTTAGACTTTGCCAGTTCTTTTTTCCTTGGTTTATTTTTGCTTTGCTTTGTAGGACCAGGCCCCCACAAGTCGCACTGCAGTTGAATCAGTTCTGACATACAGCAACTCTGAAGGACACCTCAGAACTCTCCTGTAGGGTTTCTAAAGCTGCAGTCTTCATTAAAGCAAACTACCCCACCTTTTTTGATGGTGCAAGCAGCTTGTGGGTTAAAGCTTGGTGCTTTGACCGTTCTGCCATGAGGATTTCAGAGCCAACAAACCACTGTTGTTAAGTCGATCCTGATTCATAGTGACTCAATCCGAGGCTGTAAATTCTCTTTGGAAGAGGCTTCTTCCTTCATCTTTTTCACCAGCGCAACTGATGGATTTGAGACAGTAAAACTCTACACCATTAGAAGTCCTTTCTGTGTAGGGACAGTGGATGGAATCATTGAAATAAGAGAGGCATATTTTGGTTTCACTAAGCATGAACCTTCTAAGTATTAGAGTTGTCTCTACTGTAGTAGTTGTTTTTGAGAATTAAAGGCATTCTCATTATTGAAAGTACTCAGAATTCTGTTACATAACTGACCATTAAGAATGAGCTATATAAAGAGAAGGAAACAGGGATTTATAGTTACTGTGAAGTATAGATTCTGTGAGCTGATTTTATAGTTATAACAGCCAATTAAGCTGATAGAGCAGGTAGCGTTTATGCTTCTATAGATGAGGAAATCCTAGATTTAGAAGCCAGAATAGCAAGATTAGAATTATTCAGTGTCTTATGTCCTGACACTGGAACTCTTAGCCTAGTTTATTTAATTCAGTAACTGATTTTAATTATTTGTTCAAGTATATGATTCAACAGTATACTGTTTTAGGTCTTTTATCCTGATGTCTAGCTTTCACTGTCTCCCTTTTTTGAGGATTTTAAACATTAAATAAGGAGCCCTGGTATTAGGCTGCTAACTGAAGGGTCATCAGTTTGAATCCACCAGCCATTCCAAGGGAGAACCATGAAGCATTCTGCTTTCTTAAAGTTCACAGCCTTAGAAACTTTAAGGGACACTTCTGCTCTGTCCTTTATTGTATGCATCCTCTGTCAAGTTGGAACCAACTTGACCCCTCCAGTCAGCTGGGTTTACAGCGGAGGAAATTGTCCATCTTTCTCCCACAGAGCTGCTGTTAGATTTGCACTATTTGCCTTAGGGATTTTAGTGCAGCTTCTTCCCCCTAGGCCACAAGAGCTCTACTTGGCCCTATGGACATATTTGACAGATATGTCCTATAGATATAATTGTTCTCCTGGCCATCCATGGTATATTCAATACTCTTCTCCAGCACCACAACATAAAGGCATTGATTCTTCTTTTGTCATCCTTATTCATTGTCCAGCTCTCTGATGCATAGCAAGTAATTCAAAGACCATGGCCTGGATCAGGTGCACCTTAGTTTCTAGACTGACATGTTTGCTCTTCATTACTCTGGAGAGGTCTCTGACAGCAGACATTCCCAATGTAACTTGTCTTTGTAAATTGGTCTTAGATTAAGAACAATTAATATCAAGTCATCATATAATCTCTTATTAGAGAACTTTTGGTAAGTTATTTTGGAAAAAAAGTCAATGTTTGAGCTGACAAGTAATAAACATGAAGTGGTAACAGAGATATAATGCAAATCAGGCCAAGAGCTGCAAAAAAACTAGCTATGTTAATGTGATGAGAAGATTTCGTCTACTGGTGGTTGAGAATATGGTGACGAGCTTCCCACTGCACAGCTCTGTGTGCCAATCCTGGGTCAGTTATTTCCGCTTCTGAAACGGAACTGAAATGCTGATTCATGACATGTACTCTTAGTGTTCATCATATAACTCTTAAGCCATTATCAGTTTCTTTTAAAATACGTTTGAGGTTAAGTAACTCTGCATGCATATAAGAATAGGATTTGTACCCTTCTTTGCATTTCATAGGTGTTTTCATAGTATAGTGATTTTTGAGATAATAGCAGTAAGTATGGCTGTTGCTAGGAAAAATATAGCTATGTAGAATCTAGCTTTGCAGTGGTAGAAAAAGTAGATTTCAATACCCGTACTTAGTGGTCTTAAGGATCCTTACCTAGATCCCTGGTGGCATAGTACACAGTGTGTTAGACAGCTAGTCCAAAGTTCCTTGGTTTAGAGCCACAGTGGTTCTGCAGGAGTAAGGGGAGCAGTCTTCTTTTATAAAGAGTTACAGTATTAGAAACCCAGTGGAGGGTCTGTGAGGGAAAATTGACTTCATGGCTGTACCATCCAGTTGACTGTGGCTCATAATGACCCAGTGCACAATAGCTCTGAACCCCACCCCATCCTGAGCCACTCTCACTGACTCCAAGACACCTACCCCCATTACCCCAGTTACTGTATCAATCCATCTCAACGGGGTCTTCCTCTCCTGTACTGTCCCTCCGCTCTTCCAAACGGCAGGGGGTAGGAATCTTCATGCTTAAAATTAGAGATCTTATGATGTATTCATGTTTTAAAATATGATTGCATATGATTTCTGCCTTACTATTTTTGTCTTGGTCTTTCTTTTTAGATAGGAATTTTCTCTGTTATAGAATATTATGAAAAAACAACTTAAAAACGGACTCATAAACTGACCGACCCTCCAGTGGGTTTTTAGAGTCTGTCGATTGCATGAAAAATTGTCCGTTGCTCGTCTTTCTCCTGCAGAGTTTTTGGTGGATTTGAACTGGAATAGAGGCACAGGGTTTTGAGTTAGCAGGGCGGCTCCCAGTGGACCACAGTTACCAGAGGTCCCTAGAATATTATTTGTCTTAGTGGCAAGAAGCTGTGCTGCCATCCTGAAGGCACACAGTTCAAGTCCACCCACTGCTCCACGGGAGAAGGATGGGCAATCTCCTGTGCTGTTAACGGCCTCTGAAAACCTGTTGGAGAGTCAGCTACAGGTTGGTTTTGACTTGACAGTACATAAAAACAACACCACAAAGAAATGTAATTCTCATGTAGTTTTTGATAGGGCTCAAATAATTTGTCTTGTGTCTGTGGTACATTGGGAGTTTTTGTATATTTAAGTGTCATTTGCTTGCTCCTCCCCCTATTTGGTGGAAGTAAGCAATCAAAATACAATGACATTACCATGTAAGTAACCAAATACTATGTTTCAGGTCTCTCTTTGCCTTGCATCTACTTGCAGCAGATCATTTAAAAGGGTGTTACAGTTACATGTAACCAATTTAAATGCCCCTGTATAAAAGTGGACTTCTGAAAATGGAGGGGAAAAGTCCTCTTTGGCAGACATTTATTCAAGCTTAAGATAAACAAATGTAGCAGTCTCTTAATAGGATGCTTTGAAGACAGAGAACAGAACTTCTGGCAGAAGTATGATTAAATGAGCCTCTGAACCTCTCAGATATCTTGAGGAAAAGGGATTGAAAAGGGGAGAAGGTAAACCATTTGAGTTGAAAACTGGTGGGAACTGCAGCCATCCTTCATGGGTTCAGTGACCACGTGGTTTGA